TAAATAAATAATTAAATAGTCCACTCCAACGTGCAGAGTGTTGATGATACAAAATAAACGTAGGAGTGCATGCGAATAGCTTGCACGCAAGGAACGTTTGGAATTTTTACGAACACTATTTTTAGTTTTTAATTCTTTTAGGAAATAGACTTGCCTAGATTTAATCTTTACGCCCCAAATATTATTTACATCGGAGTTGCACCATAAATTGTACTCGGAATCTCGGATTCAAACAACACAATGTCAATGACTTTATAAAAGTAAAGCATATTGTGTATTGGCCTATTGGGTTTATACTTTTACAGGTTCATTTAACTTAAGTCTTTAACTCTCAACAAGTCTCAACAGACAATCGGACATGCCAAATCCATTGATATGACAAATTGACAACTTCAAAAAACTTTTTTTGAAGCTAGAAATCATGATTTTTTTCAAATTTTTCCTGGGATACTTTGTTTTCTGCTCTCTAGACTCCCCCTCGCGGCTCTAGTGCTCCACCCCTAGAATATAGATCTTACTGGGGTTTGGTGACACTTTGTGTTGCTTCAGTCACCTGCTCACGGCTCACCCCCCTAAAATTTCTGGCACCACCCCAGTAATAAATATGAAAATCCGTCTATGGCAGTAAAGCTCAGGTCACACTACACAACGATAACGATACGATAACTTGTATTCGCGCGCTGATTGGTCAAAAATTTATCGTTATCGTCCGACTGAAAAAAAATCGCTCAGGTGAGCGATTTTAAAATCGTTATCGTTATCGTCTAACGATAATTTTACCATTTTCGTTGTTGTGTGTACACTAATACAATTTTTTTGACAATTATCGCGTGTTTACAATTTATCGTATCGTTATCGTTGTGTAGTGTGACCGGGCCTTAAGTCTACCAGAAAATCTATTTAGCACGGAATAAACTGAGCACAACATTTGTATGAATTATGCAGCGTGCTATGAGCGCAACGAACCAATTTTCAAATTTGGTTCGTTGCGGGCACTATGAGCGTTAACAAGCCTTAAAAAGCTTTGCCCAACGTAAATCAAAATGTACCCTAGTCCAGGACTAGAGGCTCGTATGTTAAATGGAGAATCCGAGTATATAATGTATAGAAAGTGAACCGGAAATTTGTGATGGTCTTACTGCTGTTTTTGGCAAGCAAATTAATTTTGGCTTGGAAATAAGTATGGATGACACAAATATCTTCACAGCATTTACCGTTCGGAATGAATACATTGTGCTGATATTAATTTGTGTCATTCAGACTTATTCCCGAGCCAAACTGAACTGAAGGCCATCAGACATCATACTGTACATATGTCCAACTGCGTTAATGATTTATACAACGTACTGTGACCGAACTAGTTAGTAGTTAGTTCGGTGCGCTAAATGATGTCATGGTTTCGATTCCCAACGCGGTCAAACCATCAAACAAAATTTTCAGCTTGCCCGGTGTGGAACACTCGGAAAACATTTTTTTTAAACATGTATGCATGTATATCTAACA